AATTTAAAATACCTTAAAACAATTATAATTGTTTTAAAAACAACCCTCTGCTCTAGACTATACCAAAGGGCTGTATGATGTCCACAAAGAAAGTCAGCATGCTTAGGAACTACTGTATCAACAAGCCAGGACATCTTCATATTGCACTGGGTGGCCTGGGCATTCATAGGAGCTCCAGTCAGCCCAGCTAAACATGCTTTGGAACCCATTAGGATCCATTAGATTCTGGGAAGGGGCATTTTATTAGGTCCCTCACCCTCGCAGAGAGGGGAGGCACTAATGTATGGACCTGTAATGGAATGTGGCAATGACCTTGGAAGACCAGCGGGGGGGAGGAAGAGATGCTACCTAGGGAATGATCAGATAAAAGAGAAAGGAGTCTGCAACAGAGTAATGGCCAGAAAAAGAAACTTAGGAAGGACTTGCCGTAACTACTCAGGTGGTAAATAGGGAGGGCAAGAGATTTGTACTTTCAGACTTGCAAGATTCTGTTAACATAGCCTTACAATAAAGTAGAAGCTTGTCTGGTCGTGTTTCCTGTCTGGTCTGCCTGGGAAGGCTGACAAAACCTCAGCAGGAAATGACCTGATCCAGACAAGGGGAACAGTTGTTAAATCCCTAATACCTTGGATTGAGCTGATGCAGTGTTGTGATAACCCTGTGACTATCATGGTAACATGAAGGCCTCAGCTGCCATGGTTCCAGTGGTCTCAGTATGTACATTTGGAGCCTCCCAGGACAACCAGCCTGGCCATGTCCAAGACTGCCTTAGTTCAGGTAGGGAGACTTAGGATAGAGTCCTTACTCTGTCTGGATTGTCCAACCCTAACAGAACAGAAAGCCTGGGAGAGGTGGAACCCTTATAGACAGCAACATTCTCTCTCTGTGTTGGTTCTTATATGGTAGGCCCATCTCTCCCTCCATGTGCCTACTTGCCCGTTAGCTACATCTTCATATCAGCACAACTGGAGGCAACCTGGTACAGCTGGATCCATGCTTATAGTTTGCAGCAAACTCAACAAAACTGTTCTGTTTTTCAGAGGGTTTTGCAATTCATTCTTTTCTATTGCTCGTGTAAGATGACACCCTGCCATTATCCTTCTCAGCCTGTCTGTTCACAGTTGATCTCAGGCCAGTTTGTTCATCATAATTTGTTTTCAAAGAGACTTGTAAGCTGGAGAGCAGAAGCTGGGACTGTCTACAGCAGCAATGAAAAGAAAAACAGAAATTGCAGAGGGAAGAAATGAAGTAAAAAGTTGTTTTCTTAATGTGATTTTATTTATATCTGTTAATTTTCTAGTGAAGAGAGGCAGTGCTTGTGACTGTAACAGGTAGACTGAGGCTGACCATGAAATCAAGTAATTGAAAAGTTGTATGATTTGTCACTAATTTGACTACATAGGAATTTATTTATTTTTGGTGTACATGAAAAAAATCTTCCCATAGTACAAAATGCATTCCCTGAACTGAAAGTTTTTTGTTATATATAGCAAACTCATTAATATAGGATCATCTTCAGTTTCCCAGCAGAACTTCATTATGATTTAATGAAGCTTTTACACTGTAATGTTGTATTTATTTCATATTTAAACTTTAAGTTCCCTCAAATAAAACTGCATTTCTAATTTTTTGCATGGTTATTATCCAAACAAATACAACTTTCAATTACCCATAATCTGCCTAATCTTTAATAAAACACTTAATTACTTGATTTTGTGCTTTGCTATGCTTTATCTCCCCCCGCCCCTGCTGAAAACAGATGATCCTCTTTGATCTAATTCTCTCTTCTTATCAGAACTTCTGTGTCTCCTTTGGTTTATATGTGATTATTTGAGGATTCAGAGAATCAGTCATGCATTTTTTCCTTTACGATGCAGCAGTATTCTCTAACAAGGAAACCAGAGAATAAATATTAAACTTATTCATGGTATGTTTTAAAAGGCTGTATTGTTCTGAATGCTGAGCTGTCGTCAAAGGTTACCAGATCTCACAATCAATATATTCAGCAATTGTTTCTCCCAGTTAAGCTTCCAGGGGGGAAAAATCCTCACTCAGAGAAAACAGATCTAACTTTCTTTTCCGGTCTGTTGGCCAAAGAAAGCATATTGAATTTCCCATCCGTACTTTAAGAGGAAGTGATACTTTATATGCAAGTTTAAATTCTGCTGGGTCAGAAAACATTCATTGTGAAGATTTGTTCCTTGCATTTGTTAAATACAGGGGGGCAAAAAAGTATTTAGTCAGCCACCAATTGTGCAAGTTCTCCCACTTAAAAAGATGAGAGAGGCCTGTAATTTTCATCATAGGTATACCTCAACTATGAGAGACAAAATGAGGGAAAAAATCCAGA